ATCATTTTATTCAAGGATATCTACCATAAGGGATATCTAATCTTCTTCAGTAGTCACAGTTGGAAAACTACCTCTTGTCATAATGTTTTGAAAAGTGTTTCCTATATAGAGAGTCAGAAAGCAAACACAGATTATCACTCTAGTTTTCGAGTGCTATGAGATATAATAACGCGCGATTCCATCTAGTCCTTTTCTTTGAGGATTAGAAATTGTTCCATTTCAGATATTTTTATATAGTGGCATAAGTGCACACACACACACACACACACACACACACACACACACACTCACACACATTCACACACATACCTCCTTAGGCCTATAAAAGAGTAAAGTTTCTGTCCTTGAAATTTTTCACAGAGTGAGCACCTGTGGCTTGAGACACATTTAGCTTTAAGGCTTATTCAGTAACAAAACCATTTCCTTTTTCCTTTCTTATGTAGAGATGATTCTTTGACTGTTTAATTGTTAATTATATTTTCCTAGCAGCCTGGGTATTGAAATCAGGGGAATCATGACAGTGAGTGATGATCAAGATTTTCCAGCAATGAGAAGTGACCTTGAGGTCTTTGGGTTACTGCAACCAAAACAGTGAGAAGGAATACAAATGTGGGAACTAGATCACATAGGCACAATGCACATGTAAGAAGAGCAAAGTCCAAAATAATACAGCAATTCTCTGGCTACTGTGTCAAAAATATTTATTGTTACTGACTTGAGCTTAGATTGTATAGCTTAGCATGTTTCAAAGTGCAGAAATGCACATTAAGAAATAATGAGTTATAAAGATTTTCTTACATAAAGAAGTATGTATATATAACAACAATCCAAATGATGTCAAAAGCCCAAACTTGAATGATTGGTAAATAAATTGCACAGACAATTTGTTCAGTAAATTTGGGAAAACAAGCGGTCACAAATAAAATGAGTTTGAACGAATTTTAAAATTAATATGTATGTGGTATTCTTGTATCATTCGAAAAGGATCATGTCTAAACAAGCTTTCAAATAGCACCTAGAAGGGGATATGCACCCCCACAGGGCTCAGTACATTCTAATCATCATACCATCAAAAGGTGAGAGACATCTCATTTAATCCAGCCTGGAGGCACCCCTCTTAAACAATCCTAGACAGATGAGAGGCTGTCTGAGTTTAAAACTCTTCTTGAGAAACTTTTGTATAACGATTTCTGTCTTAAAAAAAAAAAAAAAACCTCCCTTGTTTTACAGCAAATACCATTTTGTGTGAAATTGCTTTTAGCATATCTGTGAACAATCACATCATAATGGTTCAGGCAAAATATTATTTCTTAATTATTGTTAGCTCTACAAATAATACTCGTTTAAAACACATTATTCATTCATCTATTTAATATGCCATTGTAAAGTAAATATTGTGCTACTTGTTACTACATTTCAGATTACCCCAAACATAGCAGCTGAAAATAACACATTTATTAGTTCATAGACAGCATTTTTAGTGGGTCACTGGATGTTTCTGACTCAGCCTTGTACAAAAGAACTGGATTGAGGTATTATGTTGGGCTGCAGTTACTTCCAGACACCAGAGAGAGATTCTGTTTCTTTGGCTAATGGTCTGTTAGCAGACCTTACAGTGTCTCTTCTGAGTTTACTCATGTGGGTCTTTCCACATATTTATCTTATATGGGACTTTCCTCTAGAAGAGTGTAATTGAAAAGAAAATAAGGGAATACTCAGACCAAAAGCCATTCTCCTGCACATAGTATAGCCTTTGAAATGGCATCCCATTATCTTTGCTGTATTCTAATTTGGAAAATAATCACAAAGGACAGTCCATATTTAAGAAGGTAGACATAAGGAGAGGCCACATTGCTGTAAGTCTTGGTCTATGACCTAGCTATTGTATGCCTGTCCCTCTATTCCACAAACCCAGGAAATTTTTAGTGACTCAACAATGGATTTAGATGCCCTAACTACAGAGGAACTTTGGGTGACTGCCCAGGCAGTCAGATGTCTCTGTCATTTCTAGCATTTTGGAAGTTGGTTGAAATAAACTTCCTGTTTACTCAAATAATATCCTTCTGGGGGGTCTTTGATAAAGTTAAAGACTAGATAGTTATAATTATATTTTTCCTTGATTATGTTAAAAGGTAAATTAGCTATGAAACTTTAGACTCACAATATAGAATAGATGATAAAGTATGTTCTTTAATTTTGCCAAATACAAATAGACTAGATGTTATAACTGTTTTTCTTACTTGATAACTATTTTGTTTTATGTAATTTTACTATATTAAAGTTAAAAACCTTCCTTTTTGATTAGACAGAAAAGGGGAAGTACTTTGGGATGGTCTTTCTGTATGCTGTGAATATGTGTTGCTACCATTGTTTAATAAAGAAGCTGCTCTGGCTTATGGCAAGACAGGCTTTAGTCAAGCAAGAAATCTATGGAAAGATACAGAAAGCAAAAGCATAGAGTCAGGGAGACGCCAGCCTGCTGCCCAAGGAGCAACATGCCAGCAGACTGGAAATACCACAGCCACATGGCAAAACATAGATGAATAGAAATGGGTTAATTTAAGATGAAAGAGCTAGCTAGCAAGAAGCCTGAGCCATAGACCAAACAGTTTGTAATTAATTAAAGCCTCAGTGTATTTATTTGGAACTGAGCAGCTGCAGGACACAGGACAACTTCAGGCTATAGGTTATAAAGGGATCAGTAGCTGAGGGGAGGGAATAGCCAGATGACTATGAAAGGGGGCTTTGAAACATATAGCAGACTTATGTCCAGGAAGCCTGGAGATCCACATGGGCTTTGATGTTCAAACACAGATACATGTCAGTGTAGCCATATGTCTTTTCTACCAGATGTAAGGGATATGACTCCTTTTGATAGAAGGAAACTGGTTTCATAAGGTCCTGAAGAATGCTGGCTTTTATTTAACTACCAGAATTCCTATAACCAGATTGAGTTTGTTTTTGGATGTTTGGACATCCTGAGATCTAACTTTTTTTTTGTTTGTTTTTGTTTTTTATTGTTTTTTTTGAGACAGGGTTTCTCTGTGTAGCTTTGCGCCTTTTCCTGGAACTCACTTGGTAGCTCAGGCTGGCCTTGAACTCACAGAGATCCGCCTGGCCCTGCTTCCTGAGTGCTGGGATTAAAGGCGTGCGCCACCACCACCCGGCAAGATCTAACTTTTATAAAGAGATATTTCAGTTAAAGCTGTTCTTCTCATCTATAAAATGATAAAAAAAAAAAAACTATAGTACCCTCACATGTGCCCTTGTATGGATTAAAATAATATACTTTATGTGCTTGTAAATATTTTCATTTTTGAAGTACATTATTTAGTAGTATGGTATGTATTCAATAAATGATAAAAAGAATACCTCTTAAAATTATGTTAGACAATAAGATTTAGGGGACAGAAAAACATCATGTTCATGTTTATCTTTATTAGTTATATTTCCAAGGAGGCTCCCCAAAGAAAACATTGCTGTTTGCTTTAAAGGTGAAAATCTTGGAGGTTTTAATAGACATTAGAAAAGGATGTGTAGCCAGACAATGGAGGCATATGCCTTTAATCCCAGCACTCGGAAGGCAGAGCCAGGCGGATCTCTACAAATCTAAGGCCAATCTTGTCTAGAGAATGAGTTTCAGGACAGCCATCACTACACAGAGAAACGATGTCTCAAGAGGAAAAAACAAGACAGAAGAAAAAGAATGAAAGAAAAAAGAAAACAAAAAAAGGATGTGTAAGGCCTCCTTTTGCCATCATGCCAAAATTTAAGACTTTGCATCCTATTAGGTCTCCCTATCCCTGTGGTTGTCACAGGGGAACTAGAAGTTGGCTCTAGATAGCCTGATGATGTGGAGTCTAGTGGGGGAGGAAAATGGTATGAAAGTTTCTGATGTATAAATTTTAATTGATTGACTAATATGCAACAGAGTCTTCTCAAGCACGAAAAATTATCCCAGGCAAGCTTTAAAGCAGTGATTTAGTCACTATATACCTTGCAGCTGATTGTGAAGAGTGTGATAAGAAACAAGATAATTAATTTACTGCAGTTTTCTCCTCATTTTCTTCTCTGAAATTATGATGGTGACGCTTTGTTTCATGTAGAAAGGTATTCTGGAAAAAGGAGGCATCAATGACATAGCCTAGTGACCCAAGTTCTATCCTCAAGATCCACACGATGGAAGCAAAGAACCAACTCCCACAATTGTCCCAGAATTCCACATGTGTGCTAAGGCATATGCACCCTCCTCCCACAGATACACACACATAAATAAATAACATGTAACAAAAGACTGAAAATAATTTTTTTTATTTTGCTTAAAAAAATATAATAATAGAAAATAATTATGTTAGTAGGTAATTATAAATATGATAAATTAATCAAATCACCAGTTAATATGATGAGCTTCTTGAGAAATGTATCTTATAATTAAAAGCATAATTTTAAAATCTGCTTAAACTTGTCAAACAACTCACCGTGAATAACATAATAGATCTGAATGTTTTTAGTGGATTCTATCATGTGCCTATACAATTTTCCCCAAAATCATTTTCATTCAGATAAATGACCCAAATTTTAATCATAATATTTTCTATGAAAATTGGTCCTTAATAAAATCCATTTGCTTTGAATTACTATACCAATTGAATCAGAAGAAAAATAATCTTTATCATAGAATTCCCCAAGCTTTGGGTTGTGATTAACTAAATGTTTTTTAATGTAAAAATTCAAATTAAACTGAACCTTGAATAAGAGATGAGTTATATCTGAGTATTGACTGCTCACACAAATCAGGTAAACCACCTCTGATACAGAATATTACAATGTCACACTTATGGGATTTGGAGTTTTAGCTACTTTCGTAGATATTGGGACTTAAAAATTGATACCGTCATTATTTGTTGAAATTATAAAATATGATATTGCATGGATTATTCTTAATCATTAATCATGTAGCAAATTGAGTCTCTAGTCAAAATGTGATTGTTTATTACTTTTAATATTATTGTGAATATTCATACTTGAAACTGATATTTTTTAAAAAACAACAAAACTTTTCATTTCATTGAAAAGATGATAGAAATAAACAAGAAACAAATCATTTAGATTTATCCCATTAAATAAAATATATAATGAAATTCCTTCATTATATGAAACTATATACTTAAACAAAGGTGATTAACTATAATTTTTCTTGAAATCTTGTAAGATCCCATTTGTTCTGTTCTTCCTGTTTTGAATAGTTATTAAATAGCAATAGTTAATAAAATATAATCAATATATATAGTCTTATTCCTATTATATATGTCTTCTGGTATGAGTTTTCACAGGTTGTGGCTTTCATACCAACACTGAGTTACTGACGGCATTCTTTTATTTCTTGATCATCTTTTTAGCGTTGATAGCAGTAGTCTTTATTTCATTTCTGACATTGATTTTTATTCCTCTTATTCTTTCTCCCCTGTCCACTTTCTGTCTTCTTAGAATGTGATGTTTCATAGATTTTTGACTTGATTAAACTGAAGGGAAGAATAAACAACAGCCACTGGGTAATTAGTAAATGTTGGGGAATGACTTTGAGGAAAGGTCAAGAGAAAATAGATCATTAGATTCACTTAACAAGTGGGTTAATATCATGACAGATTAGTGAAGTGATGGATGGCATTGTCAGCTGTTCTGAGAGTGGTAGGAGTGACAGCCTAGTTTGAAGAAGTAGCTTGTTGGGGTTATGTCTTGGGGGTATAACTTTCTCTGTATTCTTACCTTCCCGGCTCTGCTTCCTGTCCACCATGAACTAACCTTATTATCATTGTTTTATTTTATTCAACCATGCCCTCCACCATGAACTAACCTTATTAGCATTGTTTTATTTTATTCAACCATGCCCTCCACCATGAACTAACCTTATTAGCATTGTTTTATTTTATTCAACCATGCCCTCCCACCACAATGGAACTAAAAGCATCTGCAAAATAAATAATGCCCACACCTGTATAATAAAGTATTTGGGCCATACTAATTCAGGCAGACTAGATCAGAGAACTAGATTTTGGTTATGCTTTTCTCTAGTTATTTCCTATTTTCAACTTTGTTGATTTCTGATTTTTAAAGAACAGTTGAGACAATAATCACACTATTCCTTTCCTCCCTCCAAACTCTCCGTGTACCATCCACTTGCTCTCTTTCAAATTCATGACTTGCTTTTTGCTTTAATTATTGTCACATGTATCTTTAGAAAGATATATTTTATTAATTCTTTGAGTAATTCATATAAGTATACAGTGTACTTTGATCACTCCCAACTTCTTGGAATTTACTCTCATCTTCTTTGGATTTGGTTTACTCTTGTAGAGTTCAAAAGTGGTTGATATTCAACATGTCTTTTCTAATATATGCCTTCATTGATATAAATTTCCTTTCAATGGGGCTTTAATTACATATTTTGATTTAATTCTATACATTTTGATATTTTGTATTCTTATTTTCCTTGTACAAAGTTTTGACTGATAAAATTGAGCTAATAATACCATCTTTATTATTATTTTTATTGACTTAATTTTTTTTCCTAATATTTATTTCCAATCATTTCATCCTTATGTTTCTTGAAGAGTTTCATGTGATATTTGAGGTTTTGCCTCTCTTTTCTTAGCATACAAGTATTTTCCTCTTGCTCTTTTTTTTTTGGGGGGGGGGGTTTCAAGACAGGGTTTCTCTGCGTAGCTTTGCGCCTTTCCTGGAGCTCATTTGGTAGCCCAGGCTGGGATCTTTTTATTGATTGATTATATTACACCTTTTCTTTCCTGTCTCTGCAAATCAGTTGGTCTATCTATCTATCTATCTATCTATCTATCTATCTATCTATCTATCTATCTATCTATCTCTATCTATCCATCTATCTATTTATCTACCTATCTACTATCTATCTATCTTACATTTTGGAGTGATGCTTAGTGTTTATAATATACATATACAACTAATTCTACTTTCAAATAGCATTATCCTATTTTTTTTGAGTATTGTGCATTCCCCATAACATAAAATAACCTTTCTGTTTGCCCTTTGTTTCTATTTCCATGATTTGTTGATTTCCACAATAAATATAAATGAATGTATACATATAAAATTGATACATCGATTTTAGTGAATGACTCTTTTAATGAATATACTTGAAAGGAAGTTAGGATTAAAAGATAATAGACAAATTGTGCATCAAATTAAAAACTTGCTTTGTCAGTGATCTGAATGAGAGAATAAAAAATTAAATAGCTATTGGAACATGCAAAGAACACTCAAAACAAATCATGCACAGATAAGAATAAGCAATACAATTAGAAACTGGACACAAACCATAATGGAGCTCCTCATCAAAGATGTTGGTGGATAAATGAAAAGATGTTCATCATCATTTTTCAGGAGGACAGCACAAACAGAATCCTGGTGCAATATCAGAACATACATGCTAAAATCAGTAAAAGAAAAAGTAGATTACAGTGCAAAATGTTGATAAGAATGTTGAAAAAGTATATCCTAACCAGTGCCTGTTGGCATGTAAAAAGTTACTAACAGTCTGTAAAATACCTGCATTTCTTTTAAGCACTAGACATAAGCTTACTGAAGTCTTAAGTTATTAGGTCTCAGCAATAGCATCCTGGTGTATTTATTTCAGAAAGTCAGTAATTTATGTCCACATAAGCAACTACTGCTCATTTTTACAATTAACTTCATTACTATTACACATAAAGTAAAAATAACAAAAATATCCTTTGATAATTGATTGTATATATAAACTGTGGCACACATATGTCATGGATTTCCATTCATCGGTATAAAGGATGAACCATTGATATATGCAACCACATGGTTAGTTGTCTAGATCCAAAAGAGATTTTTTTTTAAAGGACATTGCCCAGTTGACAAAAGAATTAACTAGTGGCTCCCGTGGGTTAAAGACAGTGAAAATGAGGATTTGATTGATAAAGACTAGCCCCAAGAGATCTTTGTGTCAATGCAGTGGTTCTGCATTTTAACATGAATCTGCATGGATCAGAAGATGCTATGTAACTATAACTGCACACATCAATGCCCGATTCATGGTTTTAATTTTAATGATAACTAAAGAAGCTATAATTTTGAAACACCTAGGTAGAATAAATAACACCTCCTCATAATACCTTTATACATTCTCTCAAGTCTGAAATTATTCAAGAATATTTTTAATGAAAATAGTTTTAATTCAATATACTCTCATTATGATTTTAGATACTTCCCACTTCCTGACACAGCCAAATCCACACCCTTTGTTTCTATCTTCATTAGATAATAATATGTATCTAAAATAATAATAATAATGATAACAATGATAAAAATAATAAAGTAAAATTAGATAAAATAAAAAACAAATAAACCAGAATAGGACAAAACAAACAGAAGAAAAAAGTCCATAGAACACACTCAAGAAACACATATAGGCAAAGAGAGAAACACACATGTTTACACACACAGAAATCCATTAAAAACAGACCAGAAATCATAACAAAGGACCTGTTTAAAAAAGAGGGAAAAAAAAGCAAAATAAATAAACAAATAAATAAAAACGTGAGAAAGTATTGTAAGGCAAAGAACTTCAAGAATATTTTTAAGTGACTGAAAAAAGATAAGAATCTCTAATTTATCACCTGAAAAAACCTTGTTAAACTTCTTCTGAAAAACAAAACAAAAAACGTCCTTCTAAAGAACAAGCCAGTAATGACAGTGATTCATCAACTGTGGTTTATAACACACCGAATTAGGAGCAATAAAATCTAATATGAATTTTGTATTGCACAGTGTGATGGTGTAGTATGTTAAATCAAATTTTATATGACTGGTTATTTTACAATCCAATTTTAGGCAATATTCATAATGCACTGAGGCTTACAATATTTCAGGCAAATTTTAGTCACCATTTTATTGCCTCTACTTTACATATAACTGAACAATCCAATAGGCTACATAAATTTTTGTAGAATAGAATACAAATCTGAGGCACATTGAGAAGACTTAATTCAATTATTCGTTAAGTCATAGTCACTGTTAGTTTCCACATGGAAAATCATACACAAATTTGTGTTTACTCTATATAAGTAAGTCATATGTGATGACATGAAATAGATCCTTTATATAACATTACTGGAAAATATTGCCCCCAAACTCCAAAGTTGGGAAATTTAGCTAATTCTCATGTTAAGCAGCTTTAGGACTGGGATTAGATTGGGTTTCTTCTTTCTGCTGAAGGTGCTCGTCTCCCCTATGCTGTGATTAGACTTCAGTGAGAAAGTTGAGCTTGGCTCCAGTTGACTGCCTACAAAGACAATGACAACCTGTAACTTCTCTGAAATCCCTGATATACTCCTCACTCCAGCAAATGCTCAAAGAGCAGACTTAGAAACCTCCTTACTAGGGAGCCTAGCAATCATCTGTGGAATGATGATAATTTTACCAACTTCTTTTTTGTATTCTCAGAAAAAATAAATCTCAGATTGATGATAACTAGTCTTTGGAGGGCCTGGTGGTGGTGGTGCAGCCTTTAATCCCAGCACTCAGGGGCAGAGCCAATTGGATCTCTTTGAGTTCAAGGCCAGCCTGGTCTACAGTGCAAGATCCAAGACAGACACCAAAACTACACAGAGAAAACCTGTCTCAAAAAAACAAAAAAACAAACAAACCAAAATTAGTCTTTGGAAAAAATAATTACTAACATTCATTTAGAAAATGAGATTGGTTTACTATAGCATGCATTAGATATTTATTTTTATGGTGAACTGCCAAAGCAAAAGTCCATCTCAGGTACTTCTAACTTCTGAATGTGAATGTCTTTCATATTGCATAACTCAGATCATCTGATAAGTTTATCCTATGTCGTTTTTAACAAACAAGTCCAGTCTTTGATTTTTGTCATCTTTACACCTAACCTTGATATTAAGAATATTCTCACATAGTGATGCTGTACATATAAATGCTCCATGAATAAACCTCTTACAATTTTTTTGCCCTTTGCATATTATAGTCTTTTAATTCTAGTCATATCAAGCTACTGATTTTTGTTATTTTGGCTTTGGTGTTTTCATCATCTAATCTCTGACTACATATATTTTTCAAATTCATCCTTGTGGTCTTCCAAAATTTTTTTTAGCTTATCAGGATTGTTAGTTTCCTGTGAAACTATTTTTTTCCTCAACCAACCAGATGTTGCTCGGATTTGTTGTTTAATTATTCAGTGTCCATATAACTCTATATCCCATTCATCAGAAATACCTTCAACACTCATCCCTTGTCTTTCTTTTCATTACAATAACTCAAGGAATTCAGCAATATAAATAATTCATATATTCACAACTTTAGTTAATAAGTATATAGTTTACTATTTTAGTGGTAAAACAAATTGGTAATTTGTTTGAATAAAATTCATCAAGTCTGGAAAACTCTTTAATTCCATGCCACATTTTTAGTTGATTTTTATTTCTTGATTTTTCTTTTACTGTTTTGTGTATTTTAGATACTTCTCTCAGGTATGTATCTGGCAATGATTTTTTCTTATTCTATCACCTGGAGTATCCTTTCTTACAGGTTGGTGATTATTTTATGTGTCGTTGGTTATTATTCTGTCCAATTTCAGACTCCATAATAATCCCCTCATAAATTCCCTACCATTTCTCTCTTTAGTATAAACTGTAAGAGGGCATCATCTACATAGTTTCTTCCTTTATAATTCAGGGTTTATCCAATTTCCCCCAATATATTACAGTTAAATATGTCTGCAAAAATATAGATTTGCATTTACTCCCATTGTATCAATGACATCAACTCAATAGACGTTTATGTATGTATAAATTACCTTCTCTACAAAAATCTTTTGCAAGTTTTATTTCTATCCTACAAAGGATTTTGAAGATTCAATTACTAATCTTCTGTTGCACTTTATTACCTCTGACTGTCATCCCCACATACTTTCAAAAGAGACACTATTTTAATTTCCTACAAATTCTCCACCTCCAGTATTAATTCATGATACTATTTTTCTTTATTTATTTCACTATCTCTTCACTGAATCTCCACTATAGAAATCATCAAACATTTTGTAATTGGAAATTTAATGAAAAGTTTTCTCTTTCCAACCACAGTATTGTCTTAGACTTCTAGACTTGCTCTTTTGCTTTCTGTGGTTCCTTCTTATTGGCATACTCTTAGTACATTTCCCAATTCTTGTATATAAACACTAGTGTTTCATAAGAGTTTCTTTTGTACTTGTATGTTTTGATGACATTATATATATATATATATATTATATAATTATATGTATTTTAATTATATATTATATATAATTACATAAATGAGATAATCAGGGAGATAAATTATTTTTGATTATCTCATTACACGTTTATGGTCTGAATTACAATCTACTTGTTGGTGACTCAAACATCAGAGCTCTTTTCTTTTTACTGAAATTTTTCTATGGAAGAGACTTAATATATTATTAAAATTTATATCTTCAGTGAGCTTATTTCAGTGGCTAAGACAATGAGTCAGAACTCTATACCCTGGGCTTAATTAAAAGATTTTTCAGCCGGGCGGTGGTGGTGCACGCCTTTAATCCCAGCACTCGGGAGGCAGAGGCAGGCGGATCTCTGTGAGTTCGAGGCCAGCCTGGGCTACCAAGTGAGTTCCAGGAAAGGCGCAAAGTTACACAGAGAAACCCTGTCTCGAAAAACCAAAAAAAAAAAAAAAAAGATTTTTCTATCCTCTGTTATATGAGGTTAGGCATATTACTTATCTATATTTAAATTTCTTCATTTTTTAATGTGAATGAAAACGATAGCTCTCTACTAATGCTGTTGAAAAAAATTTTCATTTTTATTTATTTATTTTTTTCTATTATCAGTTTGATACAGTACAAATTCTTATCCTAATAGTGAAATGTTTCACTGAGGCTTGCCCAGTAGTTGAGTAAAACCAAAACTTATTATAAGCCATAGTCATCCAGGGTCCCCCCTGCTATGTAGCCTCCCTGGTTCTGTGGGTTGCAGTCTGATTGTTCTTTTCTTTATATTTAGAATCCACTTATGAGTGAGTACATACCATGTTTGTCCTTCTGGGTTTGGGTTACCTCACTCAGGATGATATTTTCTAGTTCCATCCATTTGCCTGCAAATTTCATGCTGTCATCGTTTTTCTCTGCTGAGTAATACTCCATTGTGTATATGTACCACATTTTAGTAATTCATTCTTCAGTTGACAGGCATCTAGGTTGTTTCCAGTTTCTAGCTATTACAAATAATGGTGCTATGAACATAATTGTGCATGTATCTTTGTGGTATGATGAACATTCCTTGGGTATATGCCCAAGAGTGGTATGGCTGGGTCTTGAAACTGAGAAGCTTTTGTAAAGCAAAAGACATGGTTAATAAGACAAAAAGACAGCTA